GGTCTACCGGCTGGCCGGGCGCCCTCGTCGGGCCTCTGATTTTTATTTTTTTTTATTTTTATTGTGGGTGTCGCGGAAGGGGTCTTGAGTCTCGGGCGTCTGTGTCCTTAACTAGAAATAGCAACATTAACGCCATCTGCGTAGCGCCTGTGCCTCAGACACTGTCTTAGCGTTGTTCGCTTACCATCTCATCCCGTCCTTTTAGCAGCCCTAGTGAGCTAGTATTTTACTTTCCCGACTTTACGGATGGCGACTGAGGCGCAGGTAGATCCCATTGTCCGGGGTGACAGTGGTAGCTAATGGCTCAGTGCGGATTCGAACCGAGGTGGCTGGAGTCTGCGTCCTGCCGTGACCGAGCGCACTGCCCGCCTTTCTGTAACTGACCCAAGAGAAGCAGAGGGACGCTCTGGGCGGGCTTTTCCCGGGAGAGGGGAACTAGCCATACGTGGCGTTTTTGCCCGATTTTAAGAGGCACAGGAAGAAGCACCAATCTCTCGAGAGCAAGTTAGTTAGTCCCGGGTTAGAGAATCCGAGAGAGACTTCAATCCCGTGACGTCACAAAGAAAATGCCTGGAGAGGAGAGGCAGTCGGACTGGGCCACCTGTTGGATTCAGGCGCAATAAACGCCTAGTGCAGTCTTAGCAAGGAGCTGGTGGATGGCGGGAGCTAGGTGCTGGCTGTATTGAATCATCTGTTTATCTTCCGAGATGATTAAGATAGTCAGTGCGTGCACTTTGTATTTCTTTGCTCTTCAAAATCTCTCTCTTCTTTCTCCCACTTAAAACTCTTTGAAACGGGTAGGTTGATGGACACAAGCCAAAATTAAAGCTTCATCCTCATTTGGGCACTTGCAAACTTTGTGTTTTATCCTTTGTGATCAAGGCTGGCCGCTTCTATATGTGCATTGTTGAATGATGCTTTCTGTTTGTGGTGTGTTATTGTGCATGCGTAATCATATTTGATCCACTTAAATAACACAAAGGCTTTTTATTTCACGTGTATAGTTGGGAAATGCCAGTTTGCATTCAGGCAACTCATTTCCCTCTAAGGATGTTCGGAGGGAAGGTTTCTGCCTTCAGAAACCAAGGGAAAGTGCAAATCGCTAGAATGATGCAAGTGCCTGCAATAAGTTCCTTAGAATCACTCAGGAAGAATTGGTGGGTTCCAATTAGATCTATTTTCTTAGGAGGACTGTATTTATCAGCACTTCAGAGTTAAAACATTTCTCTTACTGTCAGGTTACTTCTTCCCAAACAATTCTATACGATTAGCCCTGGAATGTTTTTTCTCAGAGAAGGAAAATGGAAAATGTCACATCAGCCAACGGTGCAGAGCCACTAAGAGGCAGAACCTGTCGCCCATGCTGTGTCTTTAAGTGTGGCCCTTTTTTCTCAGTAGTGCTGTGTGTTAGACACACCTGACAGTAAACTGGTTAAGGCAAGAGGGAAAGTAAAAAGCATGGAGAAGCCCTTGGGGAAATGGAGAGGAGAGGTAGTTGACAGGCAGCTCTTCCAGAATATTCTGACCTCTTGACTTATAAGGCTGAAACTCTAGAGTACTAAACTTTTCAGGTTATAGCTTTTATCATTTCAAGTGGTTTGAAAAATAGATCCTCTTTTGCTTAAGATAAAGCTGAAGTCTATAATTAGAATGAATAGCTTTTTTTACAGAAAAATAGTCATTTTAATGAATAAGTCAAATTCTCTTCAATACTTAGAGCACACAGATTTCTTTGATTTCTAAAAATTTTATCGAAATAACTGAATCTAAGACCTGGAAGAGTATGTGTAAACAGTCTTTTTGTGCAGGCAAGAGGCTTTGCAAGTGAAAAGGAGTACCTTGAACACGTTTAGAAAAATTGAAGTGATGTGAGTTTACATTTACCCATTTGTTTCCTCAAAATACTTGAATAAACAGATACTTGTGCACCCATGTTCATAGCAGCATTTTCACAATAGCAATCCAAGTGTCCATCAACAGGTGAATGGATCAACAAAATGTAGTACACACACACAATGAAATATTAATCAGCCTTGAAAAAAGCAGAAAATTTTGACACATGCTGCAACATGGGTGAGCCTTGAAGACATTATGCTAAGTGAAATAGCTGGTCACCAAAGTACAAATATTGTGTGAGCCCTCATGAGGTTCCTAGAGTAGTCAAATTCACAGACAGAAATTTCACAGGGGCTGGGGAAAGGGGAAAATGGAGATTAGTGTTTAAGGGGTACAGAGATTCAGTTGGGACAATGAAAAAGTTCTGGAGATGGATGGTGGTGATGGTTATACAGCAACGTGAATATACTTAACGAGGCCTGGTGCACAAGATTTGTGCACTGCGGTGGAGATGGGCGGGGTCCATTAGCCCGGCCTGTGCCCTCTCACAGTCCGGAATCCCTTGGGGGATGTCTGCCTGCCAGCTTGGGCCCGTTCCCCCCCCCCGGCCCCCCATCAGGCCTAAGCTGGTAGGTGGACATCCCTCTTGCAGTCCAGGACCCCTCACTCCTTACCGCCCACCTGTAGCAGAGGCAGGAGAGGCTCCTGCCACCACCACTGGGTTCACCAGCTGTGAGCCTGGCTTCTGGCTGAGCGGTGCTCCCCCTGGTGGTCACTGTGTGTCATAGGGATCAGTCTTCAACTGTTCAGTCTATTTGCATATTACACTTTTATTATATAGGAAGGATGTTGTAGAATTGTATACTTCAAATGGTAGATTTTTGTGTGTATATTTTTACCACAATTAAAGAGAGAGAGAGAAAATACTTGATCATCCCCCCAAATTGCAAGTTTTAGGAAAGCATTTGACATAGTAAAGGAATGGCCCCTAGATCACAGAGAGTTACTTCTCTGAATCCTTCCTTAGAATGGTGTGTATAACAGACCTCTCTTTTTTGTTGACTATTTGGAACAATGGACAAGTTGAAAACGGGATCTATGATTGTTACTTAACTTATTAAATGTAATGTGTCTTTTGTCAGGGATTTGTAGTACTAACTAAAGTTTCTTTATTATTGTCTGTAGGACAAGTGTTGGACAGCAGGAGTCAGTCCCCATGGAGATTATCTTTGATAACAGATTTCTTCTGGGGAATAGCTGAGTTCGTGGTTTTGTTGTAAGTATAGTAGAAGTCTTAATAGCCCTGATACTTAGGTACATTATGTTGCATATCATAAACATGCTCAGCTTTCCTGAAGCAGTTTTTAATGTTTTCTAAATTAATAGCTTTACTAAAGGAAATGCCACCAGACATCTTATGACTATGAATATGTTAGTTGAGTTGGTAAGCTAGACACTATACCTTAGTCTTGATGGTAATCATATCAACCTGCAGCTCTGGAGCCAGGCCTGCCCATTCTAATACCTAATGGCAGCACCCCACTTTCTGTCTACTAGTCCCAGCTTTAGTGTGTATGTGCAAATTTTATTCAACATTATACAAAATTGGCTTTTTTGTTTTTTAATTTGTTTTTTTTAAATATATTTTTATTGATTTCAGAGAGGGAAGGGAGATTGAAAGAGAGAAGCATCAATGATGCGAGAGAATTATTGATCGGCTGCCTCCTGCATGCCCCCTACTGGGAATCAAGCCTGCAACCCAGGCATGTGCCCTTGATGGGAATCGAACCTGGGACCTTTCAGTCCGCAGGCTGACGCTCTATCCACTGAACAAAACCGGCTAGGGCATTGTTCTTGTTCTTTAATAATTAAAGGTTAGAATCAATACAGAGGAGACAAATTTAAACTTCACCATCATTTCAAGCAATTCTTAATTAAATGCACTTTTTGGTCTTTGACCTGCTGTGTATTTTATGAAAATTATCCATTAATTATTAACAAGTCTTACTTATCCTAAGTTTGAAGATATCCTAAGTTTTAATGCAAGTTTATATTTGAGTGTCTCGTGGATAGAGAACTATAGGGATGCAGAGATGTGGGAGATAGTCCTTTCATTGACTTTAATATCAGTAAATATCTTTATATTATATGGCGGAATGGTGGGCATGATTGTGGGAGGTGGGCATCAGAGGAAGTTATTCCAGGTGGAAGAAACATAGGAAAGGTGGCAAAGAAGTTTGACTATCAGTCTGTGATCTTTATACTTAATTTGATTATTGCTATGGTTTAGAAAGATTAATTTGGTGGCTGCATGTAGCATAAATTAGAAAGGGTGAAATGGAAGCGACAGCTCCAACTTAAGTTACCCAGAGCAAAACTTTTTCATAGTTTTATAAATTTTACCTATTCCGTATTGTTTATTAAAATACTCTTTTAACTTAGTTAAATTCGTCCTCCTTCATAAATAAAAGCTCATTTAAATGGATTCCCAGAAGGTCTGTACCTCTGGCATACCACTCTTAGCTCTCCCTGTCCAAGGTAATGGAAGGTAGGCTGTCGGTGGGGGAAATGCAAGAGCAATGAATGTGCAGTACTGTAAAACCAGACTGAGCCGTGACAGCTGATGTAGAGGAAGAAGTTGGGATGACTGTCCGGGAGAGTTATCAGCAAATAAGAAGATAGGAAGGGCGGCTTTGGCACAGAACATAGCGCACACTGTTGAGACAAGTGCTCGTGTTAGATGGTGGTGTCATGATGGCTTTTCAAAATGTGGGCTTGGAGCTAACTGTCTACCCAGAGATGATAGTCGAAATCATGAACTACATTTTATAATGCTGAAAGTGGCTCTTCCGTTGTTTTCTGCCCCTTGTTTCAGTTTCAGAACTCTGCTTCAGCAAGATGTGAAAAAGGGAAGAGGCTACGGAAACTCATCTGATTCCAGATACGATGATGGAAGAGGGTACAGCTTTTTATTTGTATTTATTTTTATATCTATAATATTTATCTCTTAGACCTTTAACTCTAAGGGAAAAATGGGGGGAAATGAATAAACTTTCAAGATCATGGTAGTTTAACCCCCACTTCATTTTATTTTATTTATTTTTTTAGTCATTGATTTTTTTAAAAATTTATCTTTATTGTTGAAAGTTTTACAGATGTCCCACTTTCCTTCCCTCATTGATCCCCTTCACCCCCCCTCCCTTGCCTTCACTGCACTATTGTCTGTCCATGGATTATGCATGCACCCATGTAAGTTCTTTGGTTAATCTCTTCCTGCCACCCTTCCCCCCTTTCCCTCTGAGATTCATCAGTCTGTTCCATGCTTCCATGTTTCTGGATCATTTTTGTTTGTCAATTTATTTTGTTTATTAGATTCCACATATAAGTGAGATCATGTGATACTTGTCTTTCTCTAACTGGCTTATTTCCCTTAGCATAATACTCTCCAGGTTTCATGCTGCCTCAAAAGAGGATATAGCTTTTTAAATTGATAATAGGTGTTTTTACCCTTTTGTATATTTTAATCAGATTAGATAAGGTTGATTTGATTGATAGATAGGCTTAATGGAAATTAAAGGTTTAAATTCTATTTCACAAAATTAATGCATTACTATAAATAAGTGAAGTTGCCTCTGATTTGATAATATAGTCAACCTGGCAAAGCTAAAATGTACATCATATATCCGATGGGAAATACCTAAATTAGAGGATAAAAACTGAGAGCCAACATTGAAATCTAGAGATTTCACTTTAGAATCTAGATTTCCAGCTGCTAATGAAAAACTCAGAAGATCAAGCAGCAGGGGTTAGGTTTGTGTTTCCATGTGGCAAAAATCAACTGGAACTGGAAGTGCTGCTCAGTTCATCATAGTCCTTGCCTGACTCACTTTCCTCATGTGCTTTATATGTCTGGCCCCTGTCAAAGTTTGAGTTTTTGACCTAAATGGTATTTTAAATAAAAGGGTCTATTTGAGTGTTTAAAAGGAACCCATTTAAGATGTCTACTAAACAGTATAAATTAACTTTTTCTTTTATTAGGCCCCCAGGAAACCCTCCCAGAAGAATGGGTCGAATTAATCATCTGCGTGGCCCCAGTCCTCCTCCAATGGCTGGTGGATGAGGAAGGTAACTTAAAATTTGAAATTATTCTACAGGGATTTTATTTTGTAAATGCTTCCTTAGGAAGGTCTTTAAGAAAATAGAAGCTGCCTAACACATTATTTGGAAAAATATTTCTATCCTAATCCTTGAAAAATCCTTTGCTTTTATTATCAAAATATCTTCTGAAACAGGTTTATAACATGTAATGATTGTTGGATTTTTCAGACAGATCTGAATGAATAACTAGCAACTAATTATTGTAACGCTTTCTTTTAGGTAAATGTCTGCTCTAAGAAGCAGACAACTGGACATGCACATTCATAGCGGAAGGAAACCATCAAGCAGTGGAGGGCTGACCAGGCTGGACAAGTAAATGAATGTGTATGTCTAAACAAGAATTACTCTGTGTCCTCACAGACGAATGAGGTCGTGTTGGGAATTCCCTCACAGGGATCTGGCATGACTGACATGCAATTCTATAAATGCACATGTTTGTCTCATTATCTTTTTGTATAGTTTATTGAAAGTGTTAATATAGTTTAATAAGTAAATATTTTTAGGTTACATAATTGACTACTCATCTTTGTATAATTAAAACTCCGAATTTGAAGAAAATTAAAAGCCTAGGTATTTAGTACTGTTGGTGTCCTTTTTCAACTTCTGAAAATGTTCATTGTTAATTTGTTCTCATATATAAATAAATCACATTGTATTTATTTCAGTAGTATGCATACATCTGTGTTTTTGAATTTTTATCTAGAAACATTTGTCCCGTAAGTCTTTAATACAAGGTGTTAAATTTGCTGCTGTATATAATTATCGGAGTATTTATAAAGCCATAACCAACAAAACTGAGCTACAAAATGAAGATACAAAATGAAGACTAAGTGGTCCTTAAATATACAGACTTCAATGCTATCTAGACAAATTTGAATTCTAAAGAGTTGTTTTGTCTTTAACCTCATCTTGAATGCTGGTAACTCACATTCTTTCACCAAAATGGAAGCTCTATGAGGTTAGAGATTTTGTCTTTACCCCAATACTTTGAACAGTGACATGTAATAGGCACTGAAATATTTATTGGAAGAATGAATAATACAGATAATTCTACTTCCAATGTTTCACAGACTTTGCAACCAAAGTGTTGAGATAAAAGTATTTTTATATCCATTTATAAGTATTTATTCAACCATGAAATGGGGATGATATCAAAGTGACTTTTACAGAAATGGTAAAAGTGGGAGTAGGTTTTGGGGGGGGGTGTTGGGAATTGATGAGTTCCATTTTGGACATAAATGCCTTGTCCACATCCAAGTGGCAATACCAAATAATCAATGGATCTCGGAAAGGTCCACACTGCAAACATATATTTGGGAGTTATCTTCATATTTAAAACCATGAAACTGGATAAAGTCATCTGTGGGGCGCGGCTACAGTGTTTTGGACAGGTTCAAGCCTTGGACTGAGGAGATGGCACAGTCCTCTCATTGCCACGTGCAAGTCCCAGCTTGGAGGGCAGAGCCCTCAGCACAATTATAGCCCACAGCTATAGTGGTAAACTTGAACCTATGGTCCCAACACGTGGCCCCACGTGCCTGAGTGATATAGTCCAGGTGCATGTAGTTGAGTAGGACTGAAACCCACGAGAATGTTGTTAAACATCTTGATCACGCCCTTACTTTGCCTCCTGGCATCTGCTATAAAATACACAGCTTGTGGGCGCTGTCCCCGGCCGGAGGAGCAGCGTCCCACCGAGACCCAGCTTTCATCATTCTCTTGTCTGTCTTTTCTTAATCCTTTCACCCCCGCCCCCGCCGCCACTCGGGTTCATCCTTGGCCATGCTGGCGAGGCCCAGTCATCCAAGAAGTGTGTAGGGAGGAGGGCCAGCTCCAGAGAACCCTAACATCTGGGTTGACTGAGCAGGGCCTGTGAAATATGAGAACCCATGTCTGGTGTCTGGGAATCCTTTTGCCAGGAGAGATGGGTGTGAGGACGAAATGAGATGCCGGTATGGCTGTCCATGGTAAGCACTCAAAACAACACAGCAGGGGATATTGCTGGCAGGGTATGCCAGGACCAATCCCAGCACCATCTGTTTACTTAATCCGCTCACACGCGCAAGCTCGTCCCCTAGCGGGCGGCTCTGCCCTTCCGTTTCCGGGGATTCTCCGGCGACGCCCCGGCGGCCATCTTGACTGTGGGCATGGGGTTGCTGCCGCGATGACCCAGGCGGAGAAGGGGGACGCAGAAAACGGGAAGGAGAAGGGCGGGGAGAAGGAAAAGGAGCAGCGTGGAGTGAAGCGGCCCATCGTGCCCGCGCAGGTGCCGGAGTCGCTGCAGGAGGTGAGGCG